TCCCACCCCAGCCTCCCCCTTTCACACCCCACTCTTCACTGGCAGCAGTCCCCTGGCCCCCAGGAGAGGTCCATGGGGGCCTCACGAGGGATTTTACTGCTCCAGCCTCCACCTCCACCCCTTCCAGCAGCACAAGCGATCCAGGTTTTCACCTACGTGTCGTCTGTGTCTATGGACTCCCCCCGGGCAGCTCCTCCCTGGATGGACTCCATGGCCGTGGAGTAAAGTGCCTTCTGCCCCACGGGACGCTTCTCATCTGACGTGCTGTGGGCTCCCTCAGACTGCCGCTCCCGTTCTTGCTGGTCTATGTTATGGACCCCAAGCAGGAGGCTGTAGTCCATGATTTTAAAACTTTCCAACACCTACAGGTTAGTATTGAGTTTAAGAACAAAGACAAAACATCAGGCCAGCAGCTCAGACACAGCACAGATCCCAAAGCACGGAACAGCCCGTCCACATTGCCAGTAACAACTCCTTCACCAGACCCTGGACGTTTCTGAACCAATGAGTCATCTCTGGACTTGGCTGCATGGAGTTTGGCCACCCCACAATCAACTCAAAGGGCTGAAGGCTTGCAGATAACACCGTTGTCCCACGTATTTGCTGCACACTGTATAGGAAAAATGTGTTTAGTCCCAACAGCCCAGCTACAAGTGGAGCAGGCTGCCACAATTTGATGCACCAGGCAAAGGAACGCAGCCTTAATCCTCAGAGGCTGCCATGAGATCCAACTCCACTGCTTTGCTTTCCGGGAAAAGGGCAGTAGAAGCAATTTATCCTGCTTTGGGGTTAGCAGATTAGCAAGGATCTCAATTATTTGCCCGTCCTCATGCTCTAGAGCCACATAACTTCATTCACCTGCTCCCCAGGGCTGCCCCCCTCCTTACCAGACAGTCTCGTTGCAGCGTTTTCACCGATGCACTGAAGGTGCCTGCATCCAACATCAGGCCCTCGGGCATGTCTTGTATGAAGTCGAGATCCTTGTACGTAGGGCTGGACTTTTCTTTTTCCTTCTTGGATGCCCAGCGTTTATAGGTCGAGCCTTTCAGGTCAAATTTCAGGTGCATTTTCACCACGCGAGGCAGAATGTTGTTCATCACGACCACGCGGATGTTTTTGCCCCCTGATTGCACACAGTACAGTCCATAAAACTTCGGCAGCAGCGTTCGTGGGTTCTGGTTCAGATTCTGCAGCAGGGTTGGAAAAAAGCATGGGAAAGGTCACTTTGGCAGCAGACTCCTGCTATGGCCAACACACAGCACATCAACAGATCTTGGAGCAGTCAGACCAGGGGTTCTTCACCTAGAGGTTTTCTGAACTTCACACGAGAGCTGACTGCAGGCATTTGACAAACTCTTGCAGTTCAGTGGCTTTAGGACCTGAAAAATGCCACTATGCTTTGAACACAGGGAATGAGATGCTCAGCAGTCTGGGCAAATCACCAAGTCCGGAAATTCCCCGCTTTCCCCACCAACAGCAGCTAAAAAAGGGAGACCAAACTGGAAGAGAAATAAACACAATAAGTGGGAACTTCAAGTTTAAAAATAACAGCTATCTTCATCTCCTCAGAAGTGTCAGAAATCGACGTACGTTTCTCTGGGCCAGAATAAACCAGGGACAGTGTATTTTTTAAACAAAACAACATAAATTTTCTCCTCCTTCTGCAGAGCTGCTTTATAAAACACAGTCGGCCAGAGAGCACGGATATCCTGCTCTGCTATCCTGTCCTTTTTTTAGGCAGCGGTATTCTTCGGAACGACATGACAGGCGTGATTTGCTTGTTCAGCTTTGGGAAAGCTTGGGAAGGAAACAGAACATCTCTGCATGCTACGAAAGGACGGACAGACCTGACAGATTCTCTGACAGATGACAGAAGCACGGCCGTATTAAAGTTTCACGCCCCTCCTCACCTCACCTCACCGGGCACACGAGTGAGCCCTCTGCGAGTGCGCTGTTCAGCACGGTGCAAGCCAAAAGCAAACAGAGACAGGCAAGACCAAAGGCAAACAGCGCTTGCCCAGCTCTAAAGTAACTCAGGATGCAACCACTCTGCTTCCTTTCCACTGACTCCTTTGACACCGGCCGGGTTTCCCAAGAACAGCGGAGGGATCGTGTGTTGGCACCACAGCAACCCACAAGCACCAGAATGCTACCACGAGGAGCACCTAACTCTGCACCAGACGGGTCAGTTCAGTTTAGCTCGTTACACTGATTGCTAGCCAGGACAACTGCAGAATTCAGGGCAACAGCGCAACTCCATTCCCATTCAAAACCCTCCACCTGATTTACTACACGCGTTAGGCAACAGGCAATGCTTTCCATGAGAGCTGGTCCTGTCCAGGAACTGGACTGTCACTCGGCAAAACCACCGACGGGCTGTCAGTCACGCACAGACACCCAGGGCCCTGTCTCACTTTGGCAGGTTTTCCCCAGTAAATTTGTGCGAGGCAAGTATTTTCATGAAAACAGCGTGTGAGCACATAAACCACCTCCCCTAAAACACGCACACGCTGGGGCAGAGTTAACGCTGCTCACCACCACCTTCTCCTCGGCATGTCCACGGCGAACAAACCCCTGGGCGGTTCCAACCGAACTTCAGTGCCCTCACCTTTAGAGCTGGACCCTTCACCACCATTATGCAGGGAGACAGCTTCTGGTTTACACACCAAAACGTTGGGTTTGGTTCCGATTTACTACTTGTCACCACAGGCAAGTCCTCTGGGTCTCAACCGTGCTAGCCCCGGGATTTAGGCAGCAACAAACTGCAGCAGACTGGCTGTGCAAAGCTGGCTGGTACCGTGGGAGCCTTTAGCTTGGTACTGCTGGGACACAGCAACTGCCTTCTGAGCAACTCTGATAAGCAGCAGATACAGGAGATGTCCAGGGACAGCAGCGGTTTCCCCACAAACCCAGGGTGGCTGTGTTATTGCCATCAACAGCCGTCCTCAAAGCCAGGCTGGGGCAGATGCATGGTGCCAAGCGAAGAAGAATGAACTAGTGCTGGGAAAAGGACCCCCAGAAGCACACATAGAATGGTAAAGGTTGGAAGGGACCTTAAAGATCATCTGGCTCCAACCCCCCGCCATGAGCAGGGACATCTTCCACCAGACCAGGTTGCTCAGAGCTCCATCCAACCTGGCCTTGAGCACTGCCAGGGAGGGGACAGCCACAGCTCCTCTGGGCAGCCTGGGCCAGGGCCTCACCACCCTCATGGGGAAGAATTTCTTCCTAATATCTCATCTAAATCTGCCCTCTTTTAGTTTAGAGCCATTCCCCCTCATCCTATCACTACACACCCTTGTGAAAAGCCCCTATCCATCCTTCCTGTTGGCCCCTCCAGGCACTGGCAGCTGCTCTAAGGTCACCCTGGAGCCTTCTCTTCTCCAGGCTGAACAGCCCCAGCTCCCTCTGCCTGTCCTTGTAGGAGAGGTGCTCCAGCCCTCGGATCATCTGTGTGGCCTCCTCTGGACCCGCTCCAACACACCCATGTCCTTCTTATGTTGGGGGCTCCAACATCTGGGGAGCCATTTTCAGGCCAGAACATGCTTACAAGCTATGGCTCAATTATCTGCCTCAAGATCACCCACGGAGTTTGCAAATATCTAGCAGGATTTGTGCTTCTGGGGTTGGCTTCGTGACACACTGTTCATACTGTACCGGGCCCAGGGCAGGCAGGCCACAAGAAACCTGAGTGGAGGACATGCCCTGGGCAGTGCTTCGGACCAAAAAGCTGCCACCACAAACCCAAGTTGGGTCCGATACTCACCATGTAGTAGCCAGGAAGAAGCTTCTGCAAGAACTCAGCTTCCTTGTGCATCACAGTTTTTATGATGAATTCATCATTGCTGGTGACATAGAAGAGGGAGCCGCTGGCACCAGGGTTTGACAGCTCTATCAGAGGCTCGTTACATAACGAATACTAGGGAGGAAAAGACAAAAGAGATGTTTTTAGCCCCTACTCATTGCACATTGAGCTCTATGCCCTTGGAGGCTTTCCCCAGCACGCTGTCTCCTCCTGAGATTCAGGGGTAGCAAAGCTTTAGTGAGAACTATTTTCATTGTAGGTTAGCAGCAAAGCTGACGGACAATTTACAATTAGCGACTCAGATTACAGCTCAGAGCCTCCCAACTGCTCAGAATGTCAAGCTAATCCTCTGCTTTCAGTAACCTCCAGGCTTTATGCCGACATCTTATCTCTTCCCATTGCGCGTGTATCGCATTTCGGCTCTTGCAGCACATTACCGCGAGTGCAGACGGACAGACAGGACTGTAAGAGCCAGGACAGTGTGCTGCGGGCACCACCCTCCCCGTGCTGGAGGGAACGCCAGGCACCGGCTGTTCTCAGCAGCCTCCTCTGCCCTTGCGCTCCCCTGTAACGGAGGATTTTTACAGCCCCATCGCACCCCCTCAGTCCTGCTAGAAACTCAGGAAAAGCGTTAGACCGGGTCTCCAGACAAGCAGGGGTACTGCATCGGGCACTGAACTGGGAGCACGTTTCTAGCCATCGGTGTGCAAACAGCAGGTCCTCGACTGAGGACGTGCCCAGCAGCAAGGAGGGAAAAAAAAAAAAAAAAAAACGAAAAAAGCACCACCCCAC